CGGATGCGAGAGAGAGCAGCCAGAGTGGCCAGGGTATTGTAAAGAATCGGCAGTACACCCAGGACGGCGAGGGGGGACACCATATTAGGTGATGATGTCCGATGCAGACGAGTTGGTGTTGCCCATGATAGTGCAGGAATATTCGGCACCACACTGATGGACGTCGAGGGCTGTCTTGGTCGGGCAACTCGCTAAGACGCCTGCCTAAGGTAGGTAGGTATCTGGGCAATTTGCCTGTCCCGCCAACCTAGGTAGGTAGGTATCCCACAGGTGATGTCGAAGACTACCCAAGCAAGACAGAGTGCCTCCTTGACAGGACATGGCTGGATCCGATTGTGACTTTGGCCAGGAACCACGTGAATCATCGTCAATCTGGCCCCTGAAGCTCAGCCGCACATCGGCAAAAGGAGGCTGGCGCCGCCACCTGCTCTATTTGGTGGCGCTTTAATTAGCCGCCCCAACATTCACAGTCAGCGACAGGGCAGGGTCACATCCTCCCTCCCTCTCTGTCCAGCAATGTTCCTTGAATTGTTGTATTACGTGTAGAATCCCATGAGCCAAGTGGCGTTCTATCGTCGATGGCGCAACAAATTCATCGACCGCAGCCCGCAGATATGAGCCAAAAAAAAAATTTAATTTTTTTTTTTTTTTTTGGATAATTATTGGTGTCAGGAAATGCTGAGGAAATAAAATCACAAGATGTACCAACAACCTCTGCGGACTGCAGTCAATCGATATCAGCTCCAGTCGCAACCAGCTGTGTCCCCGCACAAAGCAACGAACCACAAAAAAAAGAAGAATAACCAAAAAGTCGTCAAAATCCAGAGCATTAACCGTCATAATCTGGTGTCCCCCAGTTTCTTCAGGCTTTATTTTCTCAAACACCTGTCCATTGTACATTTTGCCCCTTGCTCTCGAAAACTTTTGCATCAGCACCCTCCTCATGCTTTTGCTCCTCCTTCTGATTGAAATAAACATCGTTATCGCCTGGGTAGGTCGCGATATCGAGTGTCTCGACACCAGATGCCGAAGACGAGACTTGCACGTGAGTGCCATTGTGCATAATCCCAGATCCTGTCCTACTGGGCTCAAAGTAGTATGTTCGTGTCGTGGGTTTTGCAGCAGGAGCAACGTTCCTGAAGGTAGGTCCGTTGATCTGATCCCCGTTATTTTTGACAACGGGACGCCAGTGAACCGCACCTAGGCGACCATCTTGAGGACTTCGTTGATGATTGCCAGAGCCACAAAATCAGAGTTTCTTTCACCGGCGAAAGCAGAGTTCCCCATATGTGGTTCTTGAGAGGACGGCTTGCCTGGCGTTGCTCCGGATGGTTCTGTATCCAGACACACGGCCTGCTCGGATTTGGCGGGTGGCAACAATGTCGATTGATCTCCGCATATGCTTGATTCTTTCATAAGAGGGCCTTCAGTGTCGTAAGACTCGGGACAGGAACGCGTTGGGTTTGCCATAGATTTCACGTCTACGCGTATCTGGTCCAAAGCCTTGGCCTCAATGCTGAGTATGACGAGGGAAAGGCTGGTTTTCCCTTTCTCGATTGTGTCAAAAATATCCAACAAATCTCGTTGTGTATTTAGAAATTGCAAGTTGCGCAAAAGTCGAGGTTTCCGAAGTAAAGTTTCAAAGTTGTGCTCACTAATGAGGGCCAAGAGTGACTGCGTGTGTGCTTTGACCTCTGGAGTCTGAAGAATGGGGTTTTGCGTGATTGTCGCGGAAAGGTCGCGGAGATCTTGTAGCTGATTTTGATATCTCTTCAGAGTCTTTGAGCTTCCTTTTATCTTTCTGATAGTTTCCAGGAGTCTCATACAAGCCCCTGCGAGCTGAATTGCAGCAGCGATGATTCCAATGACTTCCGCCATGGCTCACATGGGCGCTGATTTAGGCAGCTAGATGGCTTTGGGCCTCGATGCCTAAGTAGCTACAGGGCGTTTCAGGGTAATAAAGCTGGTTGTGAGGGTGGGCAGGTATAGTCGGTTGTGCGACCCAGCCAGCCGGCGTTTTAGGCAAGGCTTTGTAATGCTGATGTGGTATGGCTTCTGATGGCTGCACTGCACCTTGGATTGACCGGTACTCACACCGGTGCTCAAAGATGTCTGGCCCCTGCTATTGGTTCTGAACCCCGAAACCGAACTTGTGAGATGCAGGTTGTTGCTTCAGGAGTGTGGTTTCACGACCATGGGTCGCGTGAGTTGCAGGCCTCGAGTGGCAAATGGGTCGAGGCTGCCAGTCCAAGCCAAGCAGCATCAACGCAATCCGGTCTTCTATTCGTGGAATGCCAAAGCCTGGCCCCCAAGTTTCTTGTTTTAAGTGCGTCTTGCTATTTCTGCCGGTTGTGCCGCCCGGTTGCTGATATTGCGGCATACAAGCTCCTTCGGGCCTGATCTGGTAGGATGGAATGGTGTGCGGGATGTCGACAGCATGGACTCTCGAACCCCGGTGGCGAAGTGGACGTTTTGAGGCAATAAAAGTGTACTTGTGTGCTTCCTGTTGGCGCCATCTCGATCGGTATAGACTTTGCACTTTCGATACGGCGAGGACCGCTATGTTGCTGTGCTTGTAAACATCTCAGATTTTAAACATTGTCAGAAACCTTCCTTCGCAGCAGAAAGAACACATGTGCAGATACTCAGTATAATATGACTACCATATATCAAGACTGTCGGAACGTACTCACTTGAAACAGGTAAAGCGAAATTGTTCCGCATGGGCGAAGAGAAATGTAACATTTCGTTGCGTAAAGTCGGGTAATACAACATGATCAGGCTGACACCTGGCTCGGGCGACTGCTGAAGGAGGGTATAGGTCTGTGCAACTTCGGCTGGTGTGAGGAAGAGGGCCATGTTGTGTGACACACAGGCGCACACCGTCCGATCCTCCAGGCCGAAGACCCTCCACGTTGCTAGCCCAGTGCTTGATTTACACACAAGCCTCATTGTAAATTACATTTTCCCGCCCAGATCCCAAGGTACCGGCTCATTTGAGCAGAATCCCACAGTGTCCTTCACAAAAGCATTCTCAGTCTGATAGTGTTGAGGCCAAGCACTAGCGTCTCTCGGTCATGACTTCTGATCATCTGAGTGTGGACGACCATCGTGATTCTCAAAGACAACAAATATAGAGGGTTGC